CGGAATGGATCAAGATCACAGAAACACAGAAAATAAACGAATATTTTATTTATTTTGTTTAGCTGTCGAGTTTTGAACGACAAAGTAATTACTGGTGATAGCAGTATCTTATTTTTAGAGATGATATTTAAAATTGTCTTACAATAATAATAGCTTTCATTATAGTTACGTCATGATAATTGAATTGTTCAACTTTCACTTTAGTTATTGAATCAGATTAAGCTATAAAACAGAGTACCTCAGCGATAGTATTATTGGATAATATGACTACTATTAAATATAAGGTATAGCAATGTTATTTGATTTTATTGTTGTTGGACGCGACTATTTAAGAGGATTTTGAATTTTTATATTATATTGAACATGATACGGTTTACTAGAGTGTTTCGACTAGTAACAATATTTAATGAATTACGTGTTTAACTGGATAGATAATATAAATAATGACAACGACTTTTAAGTAACGAAGACATTTTTTTTCATCTTTAATTATGAAAATTGGTAGTAAAGTAATTCCACATTAAAACTTTTATTTTGTTATCATGACATAAAAAATAAAATAACCTTTGATAAAATTATCCACTAAGCTGCTAATATAAGAGATAAAATAACTAAAAAAATTATTACCCAAAAAAAATTTGGAAAGTCTATCTGGGGTAAAGTAGTTTTATAATGTTCCGAGTCACTGAGTATTTAAATAGTCTTTTCTTTTTCAATTACAAATTTTGGAATTTTACAATGTGCTCTATAGATATTGAATGATAATGTATATATATTTTTGGAATAAATGTCATTAGGCATAATAATACCATGAATCTTTTTTTGAATTACACAAAAACCAAATTATTGTTCACTAAAAAAGGGATATAATTAATTTTGTCGGAAACTAGAACAATGTCAATATTTATAGGTCCTAATCCGTTAGTCTTAATTAACTGAATCTTAATAATGTATACGTTTTTTTCTACTTTCAATAATATTTGATTTTTCTCATTTAGTTTTGTGTTTTTTTAAGGATTATTTCGCATTTGATGAAAACGTTGGAAAATATATTATACCTTACATAAAGCAATTAAAAGAATGCGATCTAATTATTGGTGTTACTATAAATACAGCTCCATCAGCAATACAAAACCCTTGCAGTATGTTATATATGTTTTATTTTCACAGATTAATGGATTTTAATAATATCAATTATTGAACGGTGTTGATTTTTATTTAATGTGTAATGTAAATGTTATATAAAGTAGATAATCAAAATATATTTTATTTGTTATTATTTATTTTTAATAGTCAACATACTTATGATTTATTTAATAATATTAAAATACTTTCTAATCATTCGAAAATTATTAAACTATAGCTTATTTTTTTTTCATTTAATGTGTTAGTTATACATTTGGGGCATACATTTGAAAAATTACTAAATATTTATTTTTGCTATTTATAAATATAAGAGTTGTTTACTTGGAAAATTTACCAATTTGTTAAAATATCTTAATAATCAAGTTGTTTCACTAATAACTTAAACATTTCAAATAATATGTTTGATTGATTTTATAAAATTTGTATTTAATAACTATTAACTTTAATTTTTATATTTTTTTAAGTCTATAATTATGACGAATTGAATGGAATAGTTGATTTCTATGAGGTAGATACTTATTTCATGAATCAATGCAATCCAAATTTGTATAATGGAAGGACTCCAATTACAAAAAGTGAGCACGGTCCTAACTACCTCTATGGAATGGTAAATACACTTGGTTTTATTTGATAAAATTGAATTGTCACATACAAATTGAGTTTTTTTTTGTGTAAAATATATTATTGTAATTTTTGTAAAAACTATATTAGTACTATTTCGTATAGGGGAAAGAGCTGGTCATCGAAACTACCTATTATTTTTTTTAACCTAATGTTTTTCGTATAAATATTAGTTAGAATGATAAATAATGACCTATAAAGTTTTTTCATTAACTAAACATAACATTTTAAACAGAAATTCTTCAATCGTTTACAGTGCAAATTAAAAATCTGGGTTAAAAGAACTCGTTATGTATTTCATATGTAATAACTAATGAGTTATGATGTGATGCATATTTTGGAAGTGTTCTTTTTTCAAGGTTTATATTTTTATAATTAATTGTTCAGTTTATTATTCCCATTTTTAAATTTAATGTTTTTAAATAAATGAAATGAATATAATAATTATTTAGAAATATATCAGACAAAATCTAAATTCATGTATCTTTATTTATAATTACAAAAATATCACTTGTTGGAATAGTTATATAGACATATAGTAGTTATCGAGTCATTTAGTGTAAGTCATGAAATTATAAGTTGTAAGTTTTAATGTCACTATAAATTATTTACAATTGTTCTTATTTGATAATTTTAGGAAGAGGTGGCATCATATATAAATAAATCGAAGATATCTCAAGAAAAACTAACTTATGCTGTCGAATTGTATCCAGCTAACAACAATTCAACAAATTATGCTTCATATACACAAGTATCGTAGATTTAAATATTATAGCTAAATACAAGTTTTAAATTTATTTTTTTAACTGCCTCAGGTGTGTACAGGACAATATGATAGTTCAATTTGGTGTGTACAAACATCTAGAAATCTATATGATAAGGTAAATAATACACATTTTAATTAAAACTTTTTGTACACATACATATATGATTAATTACTGTTTTATTCTTAAATTTTAACTACAAGATTTGTCGTCTTTAGATAATATTTTACTTGGAATAAAACTCAAAACTGCTGTTTGATTGTTTTATGAACTTCTGTTTTATTGTATTAATATTTTAAATTGTTTGACAGTGGTTCGATTACAATATTCTTTTTTGGTCAATAATTACATGTATTTATTAAGCCTTAAGGATTTTACAGAAACAATATTTAGGATTACAATATTGTCGGGAAGAAGACAGGTTTGATGAAAATATATAACTCAACTGTGAAGATGTTCTCTTTTATTGTCTATTAATTGATCACAGTCCTTGATTCGTATCGCTGGTGTAGTTGACTGCGCGGCGTTTTCACTTTTTCTTATACGGATGGTGGTCACGGGTGAATTAATTTAATCTTATCTTATATATACAGTTGTTAGAGTGAACATTATCAAAGTTTATTTAATTCATGTGATAGAGAGAATTGTTCAGCAGTGTGTTTGCCTATAATCTAGTATTCCAATGTTTTGGCATACTATTTGTCATAGCTATAAATGTGTAGTCTGTAGTCTTATGCAGTATTGGAATACCATCCGATATCCTTATTACAGTGGACTACAATAAGTGGGTAAGATAGGTGGTACTTACATGGAATTTCATAGTTGCTTATATGAATTTTTTCTTTTGCTAATAGGTTAGCATTTCAATAAGTACTTTCTTGATGTGTTCGGTTTATGCGTTGTTCATTTAGTAATCCTGTTATTTTAAACGTTTTCTGTTAAATATTTTTTAGTTGATTATGCTTTGAATTCTTGCTTTATGTAAATTTGAATATTATGAATTAATTAATAAAGTTTATTGATGTCTGACATTAATACGTAGTCGCACCGAGAGCGCTCTAGGTAATATATTGTGAAATATTGAATTCTTAGGAAGTGATGGTCAATGGAGACGGATTAAACATTTGTTAATGTAAACGAGGCGAGATCGCGCCACTTACTCATCGTTGATGGTCTTGTCTCGATACATACTATACAATGAATAATATTAAAAATAACTTATCAACTTTTTATTTGGATATAAAACTAGTACTCAAAAGTTTTAGAACTGTTTAGTTTTACTCTTTATAATTTTGATAACGTTGTAGGCAATATGGCGAAATACAGCAATGTCCTGAACTCTAATGTTCTACCAGGTTCAACTTTATTGAACCGAAATAGTTGTATAGATAAACATAAAATATTTACAATTTAAAATAAAAATCATCTGTCATCTAAGATAACCTTACATTCCCTCTCTGAATATATGTTTTTCGCATAAATCATAGAATTATGTAGAGATTGAGCAAATCCACTACTATTTCGAAGGAAAGTAGTTATACGCAAATATGAGTTATTAAATTATTTTATGTATTATGATAAAAGGTAGGAACTGAAAGGTACGTATTAAATGTAGTATAACTACGAATATATTAAAACCTAAATCTTATATAATATTGTTTTGTTTAAAAATATGTTATTTTATTATTTCATGTTGTTTTAGGGAAAATTTATACGTAAACAAAACAGTGGTATTATTATCGAATATCCGGAGTTTGATGACATTAACAACGACTGTGGTTGTAATTCAACATTTAATGGATTTAACAACATAATTGGCGGCTTCAAAAGTGGTCAACTATCACCATGTCAGAATTTTGACGTTCAATCAAATTCATATACACTTAAATAACCAGCTGTTAACTCATTAACTGTTAAAGTAATATAAAAGTTTATTCAAATTTTAAACGTTTTTATTGTTGTTCTAATTTTCTTTACACAAAAATTCAAACTTGTTTTAAACTTGTAGACATGTAGTTTATGATTTAATTTTTGGATCTGTTAAAATGCACAATTTAATCCTGTTCTAAATGATTTAATAGACGGTAGTATCTAGTTATATTTATTATATTTTATCACAATATCATGATTTATTGATTAATGTATTGTCACATACTTAATAATATGTATTACATTTTTATATATATTTATATATATATATATATATATTGGTAATTTGTTTTTTTTTATATTTTATTTAATTTATTTACTTCCGAGTAGTATGCATAAACGACTACAAACATTGTAATTGTTTATTATAAATTAACTATAGAAATACAAAATTGTAATATTGATAAAATGTTTATTTTTGCGTGTAAGTCACTAACATAGGTAGAGTCAACAGTCAATTTTATTGAGGCCACATATTATTATGTGATTTAACGTCATCGACTGTTGTTGTATCATACTCGGACGTACTCAGACGAGAAGCTTACGAGTTAGGTTAGGTTAATATAATTTAATATATAATATATAATATAAAATAATATTGTCTATTTTTAATTTATTACAAAAAATTATTAAAATATTTGAATGAAAAACAAATTTTTATTGTTTATTTAATTTAGTTTTGTACTGAAGACCGTATTTTTAACAACACAAACAAACACAAGTTATTATATAAAATATTGGTTATATATTTTTATTATAATAAATTGGATATGAAATTTAAATCTTAAAATTTTTATAACAACAAACAAATTATGATTGCATAATCTTATGAGTAGCAACTATACACATAAAGTTCTTGTCCTAACTTTAATGATAAAATAACTTATTTTTACCGTACTTCATCTTAATTTTCTCACTTCGTGTTGTAATTAATTTTTTTTTATACGCTCTCCAGCACAACTTAACAAAATTTTCATTTAAGATGCGAAATTTACTTGCAAATTTCGTTTATAGTTATACAAATTCATGTTAACTATAATATGTTTATTAATAAACAAAAAATATAAGATTTTTTTGAATGTTTTTAAACGGCAATGTTCAATAATATTAATTTTATTTTTTTAAATTTTATTAATAGTTAAATAAAATGATTCATTGTATAAAATAGAATTACACAAAAATAGCAACAATGCATTAATACAACGATATAATATTAAGATAGACAATTTTATTCGTAGAATTTTAACAATAAAATAAATTCACAAAGTAAAAATATTTTTATTTTTTTAATTAAAAATTTTCGTGAGATGATGGAAAAATAGACATCTGGTGAAGTGATATATTGGAATTGCGTATCAATTACGCTATGTAATCATAGTATTTTATTATCGAGTTGTAGCCAATAAAATTTAATCTAATATACATCACTGTTGTTCAACTTCTTTTTATGTCTATTGATGGTTGGAGTAATTAAATGTTCATTATTGTTAATAGTAAAACATTTTCATTAATAAATTAGAATTTTAGAAATTTCACCTACTTGAAATTTCCAGATGGAATTGCATAACTATTTTTTAATTATTGTTTGATAGTTTACCTATTATATTTTGTTAAATTTTTGATTGATTAAGAATGAAGTTTATTTAAAAATTTAATAATATATATTAAGTATACTATTTAGATTAAAGCTGTACTTATGGATTATTATAGATTAAGAACAAAGTTATACTTATGAAATATATTTCCAAATATAATTAATAAATACTTCAATATTTTATGATATCAATGATTTAATAAGATTAAATTTGAAATGAAAAATTAAATTTTTTAAACTTAACATCTTTAATGTTCATTATTTTTAAAGTAGTGCGTTAATCCTAGTGGTGATGGCTAAATGTGTATCTCCAGAACATTTTGTATAAATTAATATTTTAATCAGTCAATATACCTATGAATCTAAAAATAACAACATAAACATTAATCTTGATAAAAATTATTATCTAAATTAAGTGTTTTAAATCCAATAATTTTAGCTCTAAACCATTTTCAACACACATAATATAATAATATTGTATTGTCACTTTGGATGACCACAAGTATTCATCTTCGTATCAGTTTGATGAATTTATTTAAATATTTCTAACTTTTTACTGTTCCATAAAACCTTGTTTGAGTAATAAATTAATTTTCTTGTGGCGTTTTATAATTTATGATTTATTTTATAAAATTATTTTTAATGAACCTAAAGTTTAGACTCTGGAGTGATGAAACAAAAAAGAAAGTGAACAGTTTGATCAACATATCTGATTGACAGTGGTTTCAATAGAATACCATCAAAAGAAGAATATCACTTGTATAAAAAATTACATAAAATAATAAAATATGAGGTTAGTGTAATACCGCACTACGATTAAAAAGGATATTTCTTGTGGGTACAAATGGCTTTTAATGTTAATTTATCGCTTTCATTTTGATTGTTGCATCAACAATAGCATTATTTTGGAACATGTAATAATTATTATACAAATACGAAACACGTGGAAAGTCTTAACTTCGCATCTCATTTATGCTCTTTTAGGACAAGGAATCACTACCATATCACTCTTTCTTCAGATATTACTAATGCGCTGAAAATAAAAACTCTAAACTAATAATATAGAAGAATATAAACGTACTAATATTATACTGCGTCGATTTAAATTTATTTCTACTTTTCTTTACTGATGCATTGTTTCTAACGGAACCACAATAACTTATATTTGTTAGTTAATTAATCAGAAAGTCAGAAATCCAATTTCATGATATAGTGTAAATATTGTAATGATATTTTATTTTAAATTTAGCTTATTAAATACATAATATATGTGATGAAAAGGAGTATAGAGACCTAATAGTTATTTATTACTTTAAAAAAAAAAAAAGATCATCTCAATAAATTATTTTAATCACACCGCATCCTCAATTAGTGTTGCTTACTTTTTAATAGATTGACACGCATTTATAGTCTCTCATTGCACATTTACGTAAACACAATAACACGTTTTGAATTTCTAACTTTATCGAATCTTGGTTTAAAGTTTGGTAAAAATATCATGAAAAGTTATGTCATAAATAGTTAAATTTTACGTAGGTATAGATAGGTTAGGTAGGTTTTTGGTAAGATTGACACTTGAAAAGTCATGAGGTGTCAAAATCAGAAGTGCGCGGAGGTTGGGTAATCATCACAGCTTGTACTTCTTTATGTATGTTTCACATCATCGACATAAAGTATAATATTATTACACTCTTAGTATGATATTAACTCAATTTTTTATAAATATACATTAATCGTTACTACGTTTAATATTAATGAGATTAATTACATTTTAATAATGTATTAATATACCTACATATACTTTTTCAGTTATTTAATAAGTAATTATATAATTTTGCTTTTTGAAGTCTATAATTAGCAATTGTTTTTATATTTAATAATATGTTATTATAAAATTTGTATTTTATGTTAATTTTTAAGGAAGAAATGAGATGGCTAAAAATATATACACATATACACGAATGCGTGAAAATTTTAATTAACAGTTTAATATGATCGTAAAGTAAATATAGTCAACTTTTTATGTGAGAAGTTAAGTTACAATCGTAATTTTTCAAGTTATTAACGTTTTCTTTTTTTAAGGGAAATGGAAAATTATATTTTAAAATAACTTTTGAAATAGAAAATATATAATAGTAGTTTTTCATATTAGTCCACAATAACTAAGAGTGTCAAATTTAACGTTTGAACAATATTCAAATTAAATTTAATAATTCATGGATAACCAATTACTTTAATATAATAATAACATTTTTAAATAAATAGTTTTGAAATAAAATATAAAATTTTTTCTTCAATTATTGGAAATAGATTTATTGGACGATTTTTTTTTTAGATTATAGAAATACATTGAAAAATTAATTCAACTTTAACACAAAATCTTTAGTAGATAATTAATGAAATATACCGATGATATCGAATTGAGTCCATACATACTTTTATGTGTTTGAATCGAGTCCATATAATAGATAAAATATCATAACTACCTATATAGCCATTCATGATACACAATTAGTTAACACTTACTTAATTATTAAATTATTATGAGTGAAAAATTGAGTGTATGCTTAGATATTACCCGTACAATAATTATTTCTCCTCGAACAATTTATAATATTTTGTTATATTTTCAAAAATAATAAGATAAGTATATACTTGAAATTTCCAAATTATTATTTTCAATACCTATATTATGATAACATTTTCAACAAATTTTAACTCTCTTTGAAATATTTATAAGTATGATAAATGTTCAACTTTTTTTTGGTATTTTTCTATAACTGTCGATAAAAAATTATTCTCTAGGTAAAAAGTACCTCTATTTATTATTATTTTTAATATTTTTAAATTAATTGACTCTTTATACTTATTATTACAATTAATAAAAGGATTCAACTCGAATAACCTAACAATATTGGCCGGAATCAACTACGATAATTCAAAAGTATTTGCGAGAATCAATTCAATATGGTGAACTCAATTCAATGTTATCTAAGTATTCGGCTTATCAATAGTCCATATAAGTAAATAAGTAAATAAATAAAATATATTTTATTTTTTTCAGTTAAACAAGATATAGGTAATTCGAGTTTCTTCTAATAAATTAATAACCTAGTATTTATCCAACTACCCAGCTAAATTTTTTATGTTTTACTTAAACAACACATAGACCATAGGATAGTCAACACTGTTTGGAATACTACATTATCATAAATAATTGTTATAGTATATACTATATATATATATCGATACTAATTAATATCTTTCTTTTTTTTTTTAGTATACACCATAAGTAACAAAATACATTTTTTTTTATACTAATATACAGAACAAAATATTTATTTTATATATAATATATTATATTTTATAGTATGGCTTTGCTTAAAATAATATTTTAAGTTTTTTTCAAATTATTCATATCTTTGAAGAGCCAACATAATGTGCAAATATTTTTAACGAGTATTGAAGTTCAAAGGTAAGTACTAATATTTCCCTATCAATTAAAATTATAAATTATAAAGATAGCTTAAATAAAAATACAGACTTAAACTGCAATTTAAACACTGTGATGTTTAATGACTTTATAGAAATTGAAATAAATATCACAATTTTAAAACTAAAATGCGGTAAATCTCCTGAACTCGATAATATATAATTGCTAAAATACGCCTATAATTTATAAATATTCAATTATTATTTCCATTTTAAAATAAGTGATATCGCGAATATTTATAAATATCGTCCTATTGCATTAATATAAAATATAATTAAAATATTAGAGATACTTAGAAAAAACAATACTAATATTTTTTATATTTAAAGTATTTCGTTAATTGTAATCCATATGGTTTTAGAAAAACTGTAGGCATTCATGATGCATTTACTTCATTTTTTAGTCTTATTAATAAGGCATTTGATCCAAGTGAGAAACGTTTGGTTATATAATATATTTATTGATGTATACTCATTACTAATTCTAAATTTTAAGCTCTATAAACTGTTAGGTAAAAATAAATATCTTGATTGATTTAAATTTTACTTGTATGAGAAAACTCAAGTTGTAAGAATTAATTAATGAGCCATATTTATATTTAAGAAATGGCTTATAGAATTTCAATTAATAAATTATAAAAAATTCAAAAAGCCTAAGGTTAAACAAAATATATTTCAAATACACAATAATTAATTATCACCATAAATGCTTGTTATTGTTGTTTGTTAATATTCTAGTTAAATGTAATGTTCACCATAATGTTGTTATCTCTGCTAGATTTTGTAGTATTTAATAACTTAATACATTTTTTTTGTCTTATTTTTATGTTTTTAATATTTATTATATAATATTATGTTAGAAGACCCCCATCTCACCATATGCTTATACTTACAGAGAGTGATAATCGACTTATATTGTATTATATTGTAAATTTCCATTATTTTTATCATGTTATCTTTGTTGAGTTAAATAAAAATAAATAAATAAATACAATTTTTTTACAAGTTATTCATTTTTTTATTACTTTGTTCTTTTTAATTAATTTTCTTCACAGTTTGTAATACGCAATGTGCAATATTCACTCGTAGTAAATCTAAAAGTAATTGGATTATAGTAATTAATATATTATAATACAATTAAATGTTTTTCATGAAAAATTATACGATTGTAAATTTACCTGACATAGTTAATAAATTTAAGTATTATTTTTGATAATTTAAAACTAAATTGAATTAATGCGTCAATAATATAATTTCATGAACGGTAACAAATTATGATTATATGTAATAATTATCTTGAATATGCTAGTTTATTTCACTGAAATTTAGTTAGAAATTTTACCTATTGTTTTTTCAGGAAATAAAATTATTTGCTTTCGTTTTTTATTCATTAACTCATCAATCCGTACATAGAATCGGTTTAAAAATAAATACAAAAAAAATAAAATTATCAAAGAAACACTCGTGTAAAAAACAAACTTCAAATAATAAAACCTAACTTTTAGTCATGATTACCACAGTTTGTATCGTTATTAGTCAAGTCTAAAATCATTTGTAAAAGTGAAAATATATGTTGTTGTGTTGTTATTGAACTTAAAATAAATAAACTAAATTTAGAAACGTTGATATCGATATATATATAGGGTAAAGCAAACTTAAAATCAATTTAAATACATCAAGATTTAAGTTTATATTCTATAACTGTTATTTTTAGATAATCTTGCAAATGAAACACCTAATTTGTAAAAAAAAATTCAAGCATTAATTGCGTGAGATATAATAGTATGGGCTATATAATATAGGTAATTATTATAATATGTGAATTAATATCGTTATATATAATCAGTATCCTTAGACCTTAAGACAACAATTTTTATAACAATTCTCAGTATGGACTATTAACATTTTTGCCGAGTTCTATTTTTTGGCATAAAATAGTTACAGAAACCAATGTCTTGTGACTATAGACAGCTGGAAACACACCAAGTGGTTTTAATTTTCATAAAAGGTTTGGCATTGCATGTGGTTAATAAATTCAAATTATAAATGAAAAAACCACTTAAGATTCACAAATGAAAAAGAAAAAACACATTTTTTTCAACAAATCAAAAAGTTTGTTTCATTTATTATTATTAGTGTTATATAAATATATGATACTTTATTATATGTCTTACCTATTATGAGAAGTCTATCATCTTGTTTAGATGGATCATCTGAATAGTTTGATGCCGGTCATATTATTATAAAGTGTTAGGTGTTCAGTGTACAGACTAAGATAATATAATTCAATCAGAATAATTTCATTATAAAATACAAATATTAAATATTATTAAATATTTTGTTTTATGGCAGAGCTGTGTTTAACGGGAGGCAAAGAGATCAACTACCTCGGATCATAATTTTCATATTTAAAAAACGGCATCAACATACTTTTAATATCAATAACCGATTATTTGGAACACACGAAAAAAATATTATAATTATTAAATATTTGTTCAAAGTTTGAAAATATTTGATTATTAAATATTAATTATTATATTTGTATTCGGCGAATGTCAAAAATATAAACGCATAGGATAATTTTTCTATGAATATGGCTAGTGGATAATAAAAGTTATTTTTTAGATTTTATTTACTGATATGGAATAGTAAACAAAAGCGGTAATCCTCGCCTACCGACCATGAAGTAATATTACTCCGACACTGGTACTATAGGTGTAATATATTAAATATTAAACTGTTATGTGATAACTGGCAAGTAATAACTGAGTAACTAACTATATAATAGTTAATTATGTATTTAATTTTAAATTAAAATGTTTTCAATTAAAAAAAAATCTGCAGGTTGTGCTGAAATTAACAGTAAAGTTCTAACAAACGCCCAGTTGTGGCAGAATATAAGTATAATTCTAAAAATGCAAACATACTTCTCAATGGTTTATGGTAAGCAGAATACTAATTATGAGATATGTTTAAAATATAAATATACGATTAAACGATTTTGATATATTATATTATACTTTACTGTCATTTATCTATAGCAGGGGTCTCCAAATTACGACCCGTGTGCCGGATGCGGCCCCCGAATATGTTTTCACTGGCCTACCAAATAACGGAAAATATTCTAAAAATATGTATAGTTTCCATAATCGTTATCACGCGCACGAGCAATTATCAGTTATATTGGCTGTAATTTATAAATTATATATAAATATTAAATGTGTTCATATATTTTGGCCCGCTAAAAGATTTTTTTTATTTTATGTAGCCCTCAGATAAAAAAAGTTTGAAGACCCCTGATTTATAGTATCTATACAGTATAAGATATATACATTAGTTAAGATTATTAAAAGCCTAACACACCCTATACCTTATGTCAGAAGCGTTACGAAAAAAAATGTTTAAGAATGAATTTAACTATATTTAAAAATAATAAATTTTCAGAATACAGATATTGAGTTGTTGACATCCAATTTTGAAATAGCAGTATTAATGAAGTATCTTATTTTGTGAAAAGTCCACCAGATGCTTTTGAGTAAAATAATAACAATGAAACTATTATGAAAACCAATCATAAAGTTTATAAAATACATTTGTTTTTATTAAATACTTTTTTAAATTCTTATTATTTTTAAGATTTTAAAAGCAATTCACATACTATTGAAACATTTGAAATTGAAACTATACAATGGGTGCGTGCTTACCAGTAAATGAACAAAATAACTTTTTTAGAAAGGTTATCAGAAAAAAATTGATCTAAAATTGTAATATTAAAATAAATTTGTGTTAGTTTTTAATACTTTTTTTTTTTTATTAGGTGTACATCTCGGCAACTGATTATTGCTTTTGTTTTATGATTAGAAAAGTTTATAATATTTTGATTGTTTTACTTCATTGTTAAATACTAAATAAGAAAATAATATTCCATTTGTTAATGAATAGTGCTCAATATTTTTAATTCTATTTTTCATAATAAAAGTATTGTTTTTTTTTATTAACTACATTATAAACATTTAAATTTGAATTATTGATGTATAGTATATTAAAATATAAATTATTTTAGAAACTGTGGCAAGTAGGCGTCAAATTTGTTTTGCCCCCGGCGTCTTTAATTAATAATCCATAGCTGGTTATATTATGTACATCGTTTTGTGGAGACGTGGAGACAAACTATATTAGGCAGCACAATATATAAGTACATACATATTAGTGTTTTGAGTGAAACCGTTAGGTACATAACTTGTGGTTTGAAAATATGTCTTACATTTATACCTACCTTTGGTATTTTCATGGTAGATACGCATAAACACTTTCAAGTTTAAATTAACAATTCTGAATTTTTAGTAAGTTACCTATCATAAGTAGGTAGGTACTCCGTACACGTTTAGTTTGAATTGGTGACATGTATTATTATTATTCACGATCGTCGTTACTTGTCACAAGTTCGTGAAATATCAAATTAATATTAAATATAACCGTGTTTTCAATTGTTAAATCACATAATATTTAAAAAAAAAATATACTACTATAAACACTTTTCTCCCCACTTTTTGTGTCTAGTCACCGGTGCTGCGACGAACTCTCGAGTGCCTCTGGCAGGTTACGTCACTGCGCCGTTAAGCATTCGTAACGTTATGCATTCGTACATCACAACAACATTATGCATGGTAATTGATGTATTATGATATTTTTATGGTATTACCTTATCCGTTCATCGAGTACCGAGCAACAACGGCAGAATTCGGTCAGGTAGCGTACGGATCGTTTCTGACCGGTAACGTTTGGGGCGTTTCGGTCAGCAGTCGTGGGCAATCGGAAAACGAGCGGCGGCTGAATCAGCCGCTTCGGTTACGTTATCACAACAGTCATCCCACATGGTTGAAACCGTACCGCGGCGGCGACGAGTCGTGTATACCGCTGTGTAGCGTCGCGGTGTGCAGTGTGGTCGGCGGACGTATTGGTATTCGAACGGCGATCGGAATAACGGAAAATTCGGAAAACGCATTTTATCTGGGCACCGAGTAAATACGAAAAACACTATCACGCGCGTCCGGTTTTAATGACGTCGGGATAAAGGTTTATAATACCGTTTCGAACAATATAATATACTTTACTCGAATGTCAATCGTCTATTTCTGAGCAAACGCTACGCAAAAGATTGTCCAGGTGAGTAAAGCTCGTATAAAGTGATATGACATTTTAAACGCCACCCATAGTGTAGATACGTTATTGGGTATAGGCAATCGCTCGTTTAATCTGAAAATAAAAATACGTAATTAATGGCACGATCGCCATCGTCATACTATGTTTAATCTATGTGTTGTTACTCGGCCGAATTTAGAACATTAATGTGCCAAAAAAAAAAAATATTAAGCACACAAACGTCTAGCTAAATAATTATAATATAATAATGCACATTATATTATGCTTGATTTAAGTAACTGAGATGATTAAAAGTATGTATTGCATAATAATAATAAAAAAAAAAAAATAACGATAAGAGTGTTTTTAATGTTTTTGATCTTAATTTAAAATATAAACTATACAATAATTATAAGCCTAAAATTTTATGTAAGTATCTACTTTTTTGATTGTCTACAATCAGTTTGATTACACGAATTGTAATACATATTCGACTTAATTTTGATAAATTACAATTAATATTTGGCAAGTAAAAGCTAATATTTCTGAACTCAATTGATATGTATTTAATCATAATTTTAACTAGTTTTATAAAAAAAATGCTATCAGTGTATTGATGTACCTAGTACTCGTATCACAGTTTACAAATAAAAGTTGTTCACGGTTTACATATTTTCATAAAATAAATAGGAAATAAGATTTTAATATAAATTATGTTATATAATAATGTAATATCGAGATGTATACGATACATAATATTAATGTTAAAACATTTTTAACTAAGCACATGAATACATAATATATTGTAAAATATTAACTTAGTCAACAGTTATTTTTTTTTAAATTTAGATTAGCAATCCAAGTAATTTTACTAGAGTTGAATTTTACTTCTCACTCTAAATAATAATAATTTAAATCTAAGAACTAACATCTTATCAATCGGTGGTTCAATGGAGTAACGAATTTTCTGTAAGAATAATTCTTGCCTAAAGCACGCATTTACTTATAGAGATCAAAACGTGCATAAATATACCAACATGGGAGACATTGGTAATAAAAATCTATACCAAAACGAGGATTAGGTTGATTTATTTCAAAGTAGAAGGGGTATAAAAAGTTGGAATAACTTAGGTTGTGAGAAATTGAATCTCCTATCTGAAAATATGTATACAAATACCAATAACTTGGGAACAATTTAAAACATTTTTATTACGTATTGGATATCAAATACAAAATTGTCTTTGGCATAATTTAAAATATTTAAATATAATTTTTAAAAATATTTGAAACATATTTATTCTTATATTAGATGCACTAATTTTTGTTATAATTTAATTCATTTTTTTTTTTTTTTTTTTTTTTAGCTGTTAGTAATTATTGATTTAAAATTGCAATAGTAAGCTATGTGATTTGAGCGTTATTAAAAACCAAATTTAATCTCAATCAATATATATTTTTTTAATATTAATAAACATAAGAATCATTGTTAAACGTCATTTTTTTTTTACTTTTAAACTTTTATAGGCTGAAAAGTGGTATAGATTTCGAATATATTATTTGAAAAATAAATGATTAACGGTTAAATTAACAAATTAATATTGCTTGTTTTTTGATTTATTTCGTACGTAAGTAGTCTAAACACTCTAAACCAAGGTGGTTGATAATAATTTATAACCTCGTAGATTAAATATTATAGTAAATTATTATTTTTATATTATTATATCATGACACAACAAATATTAAATATAGGATTGTAATTAGTCATTACAATTTTAGAAGTATCAAAAAAAGTGTACACGATAAAATCATTGGACTTTAATTTGTGTCACTACGTACGTAATAATTCACAACACGAAAAAAATTATTGCTATTCAAACTTTAAAATGCCATAAAAAATTGTTCTAAACATTTTTGATTAATTATTAAATTATTTAAAATAATAAAACAGTTTACCAAAGCTTAAAACCATACTTTGAGTCCAATAGTTATTAATTTTATTAGAGTAATTACGTTTTCCAAAAACATTAATTATTTTTATGCTATAATTTATAAAGCTTGAAAAAGTACAGTATGTTCAAACTGAAAAACAATGGACAATCATAATTCATAACTATATAAATTTTCTATAACATGATTAATGAGTCATAATTTTTCTCGTAAAGACATTTTTTTAAGTACTTTTAAACTTTTTGCTTATCTTCAAAATTGACATGGTAATACCATTTAGAACTACTAATACTTAAGTCGTAATTGAATTTTAATCACATGGAAATCAAATAATAAAACTAAAACATTTAAGTATCTTTACCTGTTTTTGCTACAACACTTATACAGTTAAGTCTCGATAATCCAGGCAAATTCAGACCGAGCATAGTTTGGACTACCGAAGGATTTTTAAGATTATCTACTCAAATGACTAAGATTTTTATTTTTAATTCCATCACTTTTATATTTATTGCACTTTAAATTACAAAAGTAATAAATAACTTTAACATAATGAATTACAAAAAAAAAAAAATGTTGATAATAATAAAACTTAAGTATAGTAGTCAATAATTTTTTTTTTTTTTGAAAAATTCCGAACTAACTACAAATGTATTTACGAACAATTGATGGACTTATGCCGTCTGGATTATCGCGTTCACCGGATTATCAGGGGTCTAGACTATGGAAGCTCTACTGTAATTGATATGTTAGTTATTCGAATTACTTAGTGTATAATATAAAGGTAGTTAGAAATCAGGAATTCCGCATTTTCTTATAAAATTCTAATTTTGAATTCATAATCACCTTGTACTTATCATGACTCATGAGCAGGGGCGTCAAGTTTTCAAAATATTATGTATTACGAGGATTTTTTTTACTATTAAGTAATACATGTACAGAATATATTATACTAACCATGTTTTTTTTTATGACATAAAGGTAACTGATAATGATTGAAAGGGATATTTTAGGTATAGTTAATAAGAGATTAACAAACAACGCGTTATAATTTTAATTTTTATACATCAGAATAAACTTTATAATATAGTAATTGTATTATACGTTATTTAGTTTTGTACAATTTGCAATATTAAAATTTTAGATAGACACACAACTACCAAATTATGTTATATGATAATGTAGATGCAATTTTAATTCATATTTCGTTATCAGAATGTATACTACAGTGTTTAATTATTATGAAAAATCAACTGAAAATGTGCCAATCAAAGGATATCGCAGATACCTTAGTATTTTTGCGTTTAGTAAATCAAAAAATTGTTATACGGAATGATGGAAACTCCGATTAGTGGGAACAAGAGTCGTTAAAAAAGTTATCATTCAATGTTACGAATTATTTCCGAGGCTTATATGTATATACATTTATTTTTGAATATAAAACATTCGTGTCGAAACAACAATTTTGCATGCACAGGATTATTATCAACTAATGATAAAACATCGAAAAAGCATATTCAATTTAATTTTAAACGGTCTTAAACATATCCACACGAATGCGTTTCTATATATATTATATATAAATTATAAATATAAATGTGAAAACGGAAATTTTTGTCACGCATATTCTATGAAACTCTACTCATCTGATTTTGATTTTTTTTTTAATGAATTAAATGAAAGAGTACATCACAGAATAGGTTTAACCCTGTTTCTAGATCTAAAAGTTAATGAAAAATTGAGTTATTAATTTTTTAAATAATTAGCAAATACTTATATATATATATATTTATTTTCATAATTGACACTAATTATTATTATTAAAAATTACTATTTTAGTGAATAAGAAGTATAACAGTATAAAATTTTTTCGTTGTTTTTAGATAGTTATGTTAAGTTAATATTTCGGGAATATCATCTATACACCTAATCAAAAAACCAAAAACTATATTTATCCACACGCATTACGCTAAATGTTAATATTAGACAACTAAATTTAACACGGATGCATTTTTTACGAACAATGAAATTCACGGAGATAGCTAGTTACCTATTAATAATATGATCAGTCACCTACGGTAGAAACCCTTTCACTACGCGTTTCGTATGTTAAAATATATTTCGCTTTACTGTTTTATTTTTTCGAAAACATTATAAAACATAACATAGACATTGGTAATAACATCTGTCAATAACTATTTCATTAATAGCAAATTAGTAAAAATACGTTGTCGAAAGTGGTTGCACCTTTTGTCAATACAAGAGTAATAATATAATAATATAAAATAAATAATAATAATAATAATATGTATGTTATTCAGTATCCGTTTTTAAGTTTTTTGCTACGATTTATTGTTGAAAAAAAATCTAATCTATTATCTTACTGAGCAATTATGTGCAGTAATAACTATTTCGTACAGAAAGTGTAAGCTTTTGTCTCTATTTTATAGCATAGGAGTTATCGACCAAGAAGAATGAAAAAAATATTTTCTTCTAAGTGAACTTCGCTTGCGATGCTCGATACTCCTTCAATTATGTTTTGTATGATACATTGATACCTATAAATGAATTAAAATTGTATGTGTTAAAGAAACAATCCTTATTTTTAGTCTTCTTTTACTAAAAAAAAAAAAAAAAAATGACATACCGTTGTAGTCAATTTAACCAGTCTCTTATAGCTTATATTTATTTCTATAATAAAATTGTGTGAGTCATAAAACTTTAGAAGATACTTTAGGTCCTTTCATTAATTAACTCTCTCTGATTAAATTACATTTAAAAATTAGTTGTAATAATTATTGTTGTAATAATACGAATATGTTATTAAATTTGAATATTTAAAGATAAGGACATTCGGGGAAAATATTCATCCTTAAACATAACCAGCTGTCCCCGAGAATTTCCCCGGTAGTTACGGTCCGTGGTAATTGTATTACGATTTAAAAGTAATTAACACTTAACCTACTATTGAGCTCGTATTATTTGAACCTCATCAAAAAAAAAAAAAAAAAAAATATGTACTTTATTCAATTTAAAATGTTACGTTTTCTTAATTTAAATTAACGGTGGTTTTATAAACA